AATAAGCATTCCCAACCTATCACATCAATTGCAAGCAAAGGTAAAAGGTCACATTTGTGTCAGCCCAACGGTGATGCCTCACATGTGGCAATAGATAGAGACAGATCAAGAAAATTATATAAGAGGGGCGGCCTTTAACAACATCAATTTAAAACAAAAAAATAAAACTAATATTGAGTAGGGGCAATAGTGAAATTTTTCTATAATTCTAGTGGGGCAATATTAAAATTTTATAAGTAATTAATCCAAATATAAAAAATAAAAATAAAAAAGGTATATAATACCAAAAATAAAATTTTGAGTGGGGGCAATTAGCCCCAATGGACCTTGCATGGATCCGTGCCTAACAATAACCTTTACAACTGTTGATGCTAAAAATCTACACGCTCCGGAGTCGGTGGCGATTCCTGCAAAACAAGAGAAGTGATGACCGGCGTGGTGCCGGCCGGGTGCACTCCGACAGTCAAGTTAGTACTTGACGATATAATATCCGATAAGGATTACATATAAAATTTATGGCGTACCTTTTTAGGTTGACTGATCATTTCTTTTATAGAAGCATTGATGGTAGTAGTTGTTGAAGCGAGATTCTCCTTAATCCAAGATGATATCGTTTCCTTCTTACAGGAATGGTAACTGTCGTTACATATGGTAACAAAATATTTTTTATAATTCCATAGAGATTTTGGGGAGGATAAATCACTTACCCTTATCTTATTTTGACTTTGAGTTGCCAATAATTTTTATCCTCATCAGTTGTCCCCCATTCTCGTGCTTGTTTGTCAAGCATCGAGAATATGAAAGTGTTTTTTGACCGACATCTCTTTGGTAGAAATCATTCTCTTTTTAGGTTAACCCTTGTTGGGCGACCTCTTTTTGGTTGACCTCTCCTACTCCTTTAATAAGGAAGCAGATTTGCCCGAACTTCATGAGCTGGGGGAGTAGGCTTTTTTAAGCTGAATGAGCTTACCTTTTAAAAATGGAGGTATATTTACGAGTTTTACTCAGTTCGCCCCTTAAAAAAGAAAATATATTTTACGAGTTTCACTCAACTCGCCCTTTAAAAAAGGAAGTATATTTTACGAACTTCACTTAGCTCGCCCTTTAAAAAGGGAAGTATATCTTACGAGTTGATTTTGACCCCTTTTAATACGGAGGACAACAATTACGAGCTTCATTCAGCTCGGGCCCTTATAGTACGGGGCACTTTTATATCAATCCCTTATAATACGTTGAACTCGCCCTTTAAAAAGGGAGTAAGTTCTCCAAGCTTCATGTACTTATCCTTTTATATGGAAGGTTCATCCTCGTGATGTTTGTCACCTCATCTTTTTAATAAGAGAGACTAATTTTCTGTAGTTGCATGAGCTCATCTATTTGATAAGGAAGATTGATTTTCCAGAGCTTCGTAAGCTCGTATCTTTAATAAGAGAGGTTAATTTTCTGCCCCCATTCTCAAGCTTGTCTCTCACGTGCAAGGAACACTAATGTTCTCTTTCTATTTACAAAGTTAGAAAAGCAAAAATAGAGGAACAGTTTGAACGGATAATATATATATATATATATATATATATATATATATATATATATATATATATATATCAAAATTGATACAACTAAGGCAAAGGCAAAAACTTATCATTGAGCATCATAGGACCAAAATCATCCATGGAGCTAGCGATTGTTCTCTAAAATAAGAGAGTGTAATCATGCTTTTTTTTTATATTTATTTTATGACTACTCACTCAAACAAAGTATGAGTTAGAGAATTATGATGTGGTTTGTACCCACTCATATGATACCAAACAAAGAATTTGCATTTAAGAAAATTTAGATATAAAATGATTATGACCATTCAACATTGTCCTGGACACATTTTTTTTTCATGAATAGTACCCGCGGATACTATTCCCGCGGGTACTATTCATGTGAATAGTACTCACATTTTTTTTTTTTGTGATGGATTAATTAAGAAATTAATAAAAATCCCATCTATGATTTTTTGGATACCAACGTTAAATCTATGATTTTTTTTTTTGGATGATAGTGCAGACCAAAAAATCTAACAGAATCATAAAGATTTATGTATCATGATTGCATCATGTGTGAAAATATATATACACATATAATATTGATATATATATATATATATATATATATATAATTTTTAATAAAGATTTAATTGTAAAAATTAAGTTGGAAAACTTATCTGATTAGAGACCCATCACCACGTTGTGTCTGAAAAGGAAAACATCAAATGAAAAAACTGCTACTATTGATGTCGACCGGGAGAGATGGGGTACTCTCTTTGATTGGATTGCTTGTCTGCAACTACCGATACCATCAATTGGAAAGAGATTTCGTCCACTGCTTCTTCAGGAATTCAGTAAGTATTATGCAACCATAATAATGTGAGTAGGAGCTACTAAGAAGAAATCAAGGGCGGGTCCCAGTTGTCAACAAGAAGATGAAAAGCAATGGATCATATAAGCCTCATCCTCTATTATTCACTTATATTGATATGCTTGTGCTGTTGTCTTGTGAACAAGAGCGGGCTCACTGACTTCTTTTTGTGTGATAAATAGAATGAATTCTTTCGAGGTACGGACTAGTTGACTTGACGTGAAAGCCTGCTGCCCATGTTAGGAGGGTAGCCCAATGCATTGTCTAAAACAATGGTGACTTATTCAATGCTTCAAGCCCTTGAAATAGAGCTTCCTCTGCCTCCAGATAATTGGTTTTAGATGGCGATGGTGATAGAGACCTGTCGGCATTGTACTTGAGCCTTTTGAGAATGGATTTATTTTTTTAGACCAATAATGAACAGAACGTCAGAGTTAGCCAATAAATACAAATATCACTAAAAATATTAAGAAATTTTTTATCGTAACTTCTTTGGGGGAAATATAAGGAATTTTTGGATCATAATTTCTTTACGGGACTAACACACGTTTCCCACAGACGGCGCCAACTGTTGATGCAAACGGCGCCAACTGTTGATGCCAAAAATCTACACGCTCCGGAGTCGGTGGCGATTCCTGCAAAAAGTGATGACCGGCGTGGTGCCGGCCGGGTATACTCCGACAGTCAAGTTAGTACTTGACGATATAATATCCGATAAGGATTACATATAAAATTTATGGCGTACCTTTTTAGGTTGACTGATCATTTCTTTTATAGAAGCATTGATGGTAGAGCGAGATTCTCCCTGATCGAAGATTATATCGTTTTTTTTTTACAGGAATGGTAACTGTCGTTACATATGGTAACCAAATATTTTTTATAATTCCATAGAGATTTTGGAGAGGATAAATCCTTCACCCTTATCTTATTTTGACTTTGAGTTGCTAATTATTTTTATCCTCATCAATAATGAAACCATCTTGATTGTCCACGTGACACACATCCAACCGAAGACCTCGAATCTCAAACACTATATATATATATATATATATATATATATATATATATATAAAGAGAGAGAGAGAGAGAGAGAGAGAGAGAACTCATTTATGAGGACACCAAGGTCTTGCACCACTATAAACTGCTTTTCATGCATCGATCCGGCTGTGTGCCCTCTATTCACTTTACATTACTGTGTGACTATGCTTTATATAAATCCAAGGTTTACATTGCTTTGTGTTCATTCACTTTCACCTCACGGTTCTTCATTTAGGTTTACATTTCAAGCATGTAACAGGTAATCAATAGTTCAACTAGCGAGCCTTTTTAGAATGTAATTTGGTGATTTTGTCTTGTGTCGTCTAAGAATTTGTAATTGTTCCTCTTGTACCGTCATATTTTTCGTTGAAGACCACGTTGACTCTTAACTAGGTATTTTTTTTTTTTTTAATGACATAATTGTCTTTTAAATCCATAATTGTACTTCATAAAATAAATAAATAAATAAATAAAAACTCTTACTCCACCTTTGAAGGATAATTTTCTTATCTTATTAATTTATTTAAAAAATTCAAGTAAAGTATAATTAAATGAAAGTCATATATAAAGAAGATATGTGGTTTAGTAATATATAAAGTAATCGATTAAATGACCTTGCTCATACCGAAGACTTTACAACCTTTAATTTTTGATATTTCAGATTTAGTCTTACCATTAATTTTTGTAGAAATATCATTTTCGTTCATGAAAATGGGACCCATGTGGATCCCACTCTGTAAATTCTTCCGGTGCGCGTGTTGACTCAAAAGCCCGTTTGGAAGACGTCAGTCTAGTCTTGATAATCTGCGGGAAGACCGAGTAAACTTTTCTTTGATTAGTCCTCTTCCAATTAAACCATCCATGTTCAGACCAATCTACCACTATGCCATTTTCCTGTCCATGGATACTTAAAATACAAACTCACACTTCACATTTATTTCAGAGGCACTCTTCTTACACTATTTTTAAAAAGTAATTTCGTCATTTTAATTATTATAAAATTCAAGTAAAGTGCAAGATAAAGTTTAAATAATACATCTTTCAAAAAAATCGAATAATAACTTATTGAAAAATCCTCTTAAGCTTAAAAAATGTATATATATATATATATGAAGAGGAAAGCGTGCTGAGGAGTTTTATTTGTTATGAGAATCCTCATGTTGTTAATTTATATATCACCCTAGTATTGTCTAGTGAAGAATTTGAAATACTCCATAAATAATGTAACCATATCTAGGGAACAATAAAAGGAGAAAAAATAGAAAGAAAAAGAAGGAAGGAGAATGAATTATAGCTTTCAAATTAATGAGCATGAGAATTACCTATTTTTCTTTCTTGCACAATATTAAAACAAAGAATTTTTTTATTTTTTATTTTATTTTTATGGAGACATTGACTTTAGTAGTTTACCTAAAAACGAAGGGCAATTTGATAAATACAAGTCCAACCCCATCTCCTATGCTCCTTCCGAGAAACCATCCTCCAAGTTCCTCCATCTTCATATTTAACTGATCTTCCCTTCTTCACCTCCCCATCAGTAATCATCCATTGAAGAAAAAATGGACAGAGAACAAGAAGAAATGCAATTCCTAGGCCCCTTTGGCATCTACACAGAAGCGTACAAGATCATCATCTCATGGAGGAAGATCTTCACCAAAATCACTCTAGCTTTGATCCTCCCACTCTCCTTCATCTTCCTAGCTCACATCAAAGTCTCCGAATTACTCACATCTAGGATCATACACAACGAAGTCGAATTAATAGACGCACAAGCCGGCACGCAGAGGTACAACAAGCTCTCCGATCTCATATCATCCGAGCAGACCACCTATTGGCTATTCCAACTTGCTTATACCATCTCACTCTTCATCTTCTCCCTCCTCTCCACTTCTGCTGTGGTTTACACCATTGCATGCATTTACACGGCTCGCGAAGTGACCTTCAAGAAGGTCATGAGTGTTGTCCCAAAGGTTTGGAAGAGACTCATGCTCACTTTCTTGTCCACGTTCTTGGCTTTCTTTGCTTTTACCCTAGTTTTTCTAATAATCCTAATCATATGGACATTCTTATGGGCATACACAATTGGTATTAGACATATTAATACCCTTGTGGTGATTTCCTACATCATAATGATCATTTATGGTGTAGGGTTTTTATATATGACCGTTGTTTGGCATTTGGCTAACGCGGTGTCGGTATTAGAAGAGTCCTATGGATTCAAGGCCATGGTCAAGAGCAAAAACCTGATAAAAGGAAAGATGTGGGTGGTTATAGTTGTCCTTTTGATGTTGAATATCTCTTCCTTTGCTATATATAAAGTTTTTGAAAAGTTTGTTGTCCATGGAGGGTCACTAAGTTTGGTGTATAAGGTTGGATTTGGGATATTGTGTTTGTCATTGCAATCCATGTTGTCTCTTTTTGGGTTGATCATCCAAACTATCATCTACTTTGTGTGTAAGTCATACCATCATGAAAATATCGATAAGACAATCCTCTCAGACCACTTGGATGTTTATCTTGGAGACTATGTTCCTTTGAAGGAGACGGATGTTCAGTTAGGACAATTTCAAGTTTGATCGATCGGCTTATATATATATATGTTTGGTTAAAATGTTTGTAATAGTTCATTTTTAATTGATCTTTATATGATCAGAGTTGTGATGTTTTAATTACATTTGTACTTTATTTTACATGATTTATTATAAACATTTTCAAAGAATTAGATATGGCCCTCTTCATATTTGTTCTTCTCCTTCCAATTCATCTAGATTGTAGGATGAAGTCCAGTCAAACTCGACAATTATATTTTGAGGCGGCCCACACCCAAATAAACTTTGGATGCAAGTTCCAACATTGCGACTCGATCAATATGACTTTTCTACTAGAAAAACGTTTGGCCACCATTTCACATACACGCACAACCATGTAATAATGTACTTGACCTCGATTAGGACCATCACATACTTGAGCTCCATTATGACGTATGGATAGTAATATGGCGCTGCTTGGATTGAAATTCCGAGAATAGTTATGAAGGATAATTTTCAGAGAATGAAAATAAAAAATAATATTTAATTTTCTGAGTTTGAAAATTTGCTTAATTAGAAAAATTTCAAAACAGTTTTCAGAGAATAAAAACTCATAAAATTGTTTGGTTGTTTAAAAATAATTTTTTGAACTTAAAGAAGGAAAAAATTAAATTAAAAAACTGCTACTTGCACTGATTTAGATCATACATCAAAGAAAGATTTTATTCAACAAATAAAGATAAATATTAATTGCACTGATTTAGATCATCCGTCAAAGAAAGATTTTATTCAACAAATAAAGATAAATATTAAAAACAATCAAGTTATACAACTCTCATAATAATAGGAGGAAAGGAATTAGTAAAACACACATTAGCTCTAAATTGTAAAGAAAACTTAATTAATGTGTTATATCAACCATTCTTTTCCCAGAGATAAATTGAACAGCAAAGGAATCACAAGTTCCAAACAATCAATAATGTCCTCCGACTAAACCTGCAATGGGCAAAGCTGCTTATGATTCACAATTTGAGCCAGATTTAGCATCCATTTCCACCTGAACCCAATTGAGATTCCAGCTTCATTTCTATCTGAACCCAAGTGGAATTCGAACTTTGAAGAATCAGCAATGTCTTTCTAGAACTTGAGGATCAAGTAAATTGGAATAGAAAAAGGTAGGTGCAGCAACAAAGTTTTCATTGTGGTCTCTAAGAAGCAAACCACCACCAATCTCTACTTTCAAAAATACTAGACGAAGCTCTCCAACACTTAGCTATATCATAAGTTGAAACATATAAATAATATACTAAACAGAGTTGATCATGAATTATTTCTCTATATATAATTTAGTTCATATGTCTCTCTTTATAAATGCATATATACTGAAAACTTCCAAAAAAACGACTTTGAGTTGTTCTCAAAAAAACCCATACTCTCTTAACTCAGTTTTCTAAAAACTTTTTTTCAAAAACAATACCAAGCAGTGCAAAAAATGAGTTTTTTGAGTTTTTGACACTCTAAAAATAGAAAACTGTTTTGAGAGTGTCAATCCAAGCAGGGCCAATTTAGAATCCGAAAGTCGTCCTCTATCATCCTGTCATTTCTAAGATTATGTAAGTGAGGTTGAGATCATTTTAATGTCATCTCTAGAGTTATGTAAGTGAGGCTAACAGAGTCATGATATCATCTCTAAAGTTAGGATGACATTAGTCTCCACTCATGTAAAATCTGTCCGAATGATCGGATTTCCTATCATTACTAGGTATTAGAGTTTACCAATATTACAACTAGTCGTGCTGCTTGAGAGCCCAAGTTTCTATTGGTCTAGGCCGAATTGGGCTGAAAAATAATTTTTCGCTTTATAACCAAACAAGCAGCACATGGAAACCCATCAAAGAAACCAATCCAAATTCCAATATGACCACCACTCTCCAAACAGCCGACACCAACCCAAAAACCTAGCCCACAGACAACTCCTAAAGCCCAATAAAAAAAAAGTGAAGGACACCACACCACAAAAGTAACCGTTTAAATACTGTTTTTCTCCTGCGAAAAAGCTTTGATGAGGCATTAATTTGTTTATTAGCAGTTGATGAGGCCCTGCGAAAAAGCTTTGATGAGGCATTAATTTGTTTATTAGCAGTTGATGAGGCAAGTGTGAGTGTCATCCGTGTGCCCTCAACATGACCACAAGTCTCTCTCCGGACCACACCCACCTATCTTTTTCCCTCTCTTCTTCTTCTTTTCTCTATTCTCTCTCTGCATTTGTCGACGCATTAAAGAATTCAGGCTAAGAATTAATGGTGAAAGTAACAGAGTACTATCATGATGTTCTGGGCATTGGTCATTCTGCTTCCGAGAAAGAGATTCGTAAGGCTTATATTATCCCAAGGTTTTAGATTTTATTTAAGGTTTGTTTAGTTGTATGGAATTGAAGTCTTGAAATTAGAATTAACAGAATTAAAGAAAATTTTGTTTCAATTTTCTGAATTACTTTTATCTAATTTCACCAATTTCAATTCATAAATTTCAATTATATACAACCGAACACAACCTTAAAAAATTACAATATATTCTTCCTTATCTACCTTCATTCATATATATATATATATATATATATAACACACGCACTAAAACCAACTCACAAATGGTGTTAGGATTGCTTTTATCACATACCAATACGATGCCATTAATTCATTTATTCTTGTCATTTGATGTGTACTGTATTGATTCTTGATAAATGGGTAGTATGGTGGTTTTTGAGAGAATTTAATTTTATATATTAAATATTTTAAGAGCATTTAAACGATGGTTAGGATTAGATATCTAACATATTTCAATTTAGAAGCACTTATTAACTTATGGAAACTTTTCACCAATTCTATGGAGCAAAAACATGAACATCACAGTAATAACAAATACATTAAATATGAGAGAGATATCAAAGGTCATATGTGGTATTTGAGAAAAAATTATCATTTCTGAGTCCTTCAAATTTAAAAGTATAAAGGTACTAGAGGTACTAGAGTTTTATTTATTTATTTATTTTAAGACTAAAGTTAACCAAACAGTAAGCTGTTCGACAATAATAGTTGGACTCCCAATCAAACCAATCAAAGTAACAGACCAAACATAAGGCCCATTCTCCAAAGAGCCCAAAACCTCAGCCCACAGACAACCCCCAAAAAGCAAATCATAAAAAAAAAAGTGAAGGACACCCCAAAAGTGACAGTTAAAATACTGTTTTTCTCCCGCGAGAAAGCTTTTATTTGTTTATTAGCAGTTGATAACTGGAAAAGTTAAGTGAGTCTCGTGGGTGTGCTCTCAACATGCCCACAAGTGTCTCTCCACACCCCCATCTTTTTCTCTCTCTTCTTTTTCTTTTCTCTACACTTTCTCTCCCTCCATTTGTATACCCATTAAAGAATTCAGGGTTTCTCTGCCAGAAAAATGGTGAAAGAAACAGAGTACTATGATGTTCTTGGCGTTACTCCTTCTGCTTCCGAGGAGGAGATTCGCAAGGCTTATTATCTCAAGGTTTTAGATTTTATCTTCAGATTTTCAATATATTTTAATTTGTTGTTTTATATGTTTATTTGATGGTAATATATACAGACGCACTAGAATCAATCCACAAATGGTGTTAGGATTTCTGTTTTTTCATCCTAATAAAATGTTTATGATGCCATGTATTCATTGATTCTTGTCTTTTGATATGTGTGTGTGTGTGTGATATGGTAATTTGAGGGCAGGTGGTTATGTTGGGAACCCAATTTAGCACTCCAGAACCTTGATTGATGGGTAGTATGGAGATTTTTGAGAGAAGTTAAATTTTTATATTAAATATGTTAAGAACATTTATGCCATGATTAGGATAAATATCTAACATTTCAATTTGGTAAGTTTTGGAACAAATTTTTTTTTAAGAGACAAATTTGACATAATAATCTATGTTTATTCGGAGTTTCAAGCTCGATTAGTCTGATAACATAGTAGACTGTGTTGTTTTCCAATGGCTGATGAATCAGATGAGCTGGGGATTTTGATTGGACCAAAATAGGATTAGGGTATTCTGTCATTATTAAATGAGGGTGGATAGTTTGAAGGTTTGATCTCCAAGTGATTGATTCAAATTGTGTTTGTTCAAATTTTAATATATTTGAGCTGGGTATATAATGGCATACATTTGTTTTTTAGTTTTTACAGGTGGTTTCAATAAATTATGATGGTTTTTTGTGGGTTTAAAATTTTAATAGAGTTCGGAGTAGTTGGCCAAAACTTTATCCCAGGTGCTGCTGGGAGGATAAAACACATTTCCTTTAACAGTTTCTGGTAATTGGTTGTGGGGTTATTTGCTTTCTCGATTAAGAGGACTTCTTTTAGCAATGAAGAAGCACAACAAATGCTTGAAATATTGACATTGAAAGAATTTATGAGCCGGAGGAAAATTTTTGACGAGAGTTTGTGATGACCGGATGATCCTCTTTTTGACCTTTGAGCCCTTTTATCTGTGCCCTTATGCAGTTGCTAGCAGTTCTTGAGAGTAATTTGATTGCTCATGTATCAGATATAAGGCTTTTACTTGCCTTCCTGGTCATTTTGTCATGTAACTGTGCCTATTTGGTAAAACTGTCTTCAACTCCATATATTTTCTGATTGGTCCATGCATTTACACAAATTCTCAATGACCATCACATGTCACCTCTTAACCTAATTTCGTCATGGTTCACCACCTGTTTGTTTTGCAATTTTATAACATATTATGTTGTAAATAGATAGTTATAAATTTTGTTTTGTAACTTTTGATATCCTTTTACCATTGAAGGAGAAAAGAGCTGATAGAATATCAGTTTTGAATTGAGTTTGAATATGTTGCGATGTTGGAGCTAGATCCTTATTGATCATCATATCAGCTACCTTCTCATATGCAAATTTTATATCTAAGTAATTCAATTCTTTGAATTTGAATTAGGATTTAAGTTCTTAAATCCTATAAAAACTTGCAATTTTTTACCAGTATTGGGATTAATGGTCATCAGCTACCATTACATACTCTTGAAGTTCCATTTTAAGCGATTTTTCAGACTATTCTGAAAATATTTTGTTACATGATGCAGGCAAGGCAAGTTCATCCTGATAAAAATCCAACTGACCATCAGGCTGCAGAAAAATTTCAGGCAATTCTAATATTGCTTCTTATTCAATTTTTCCCTTTCTTTTTTTTTTTTTTTTTTTTTTTTGCTTAAACAATTATTCAACTCCCCCACAGACTTCTAAATTAAGTGTTATTTTTGCCAAACTAGAGATCACAAACACAACGGTACTTTTTTTTTGTGTCTCTATTTTTGGTCTCTTGTGCTAGAGTGTAAAGGGTGAAAAAAAAGGGTGTCTTGATTGTCAAATTGATCTGAACAGTTCCATTTTATATATAGCATTCTGCTTTCAGATTAGGTAATTACATACGGATGCAGGTACTAGGTGAAGCTTATCAGGTTTTGAGTGATCCAGTGCAACGAGAAGTGTATGATAAAAATGGAAAGTACTGCATATCGAGGTAAGGATTTTTAGCATTTGCTTACATAATTATATATGTTTGAGCCTGTCTCAATTTGAATCACTTGTACGACATCATAACGAGTAATACGGTTCATGCATAAAATTTATGTTTTCACTCCTAGCTCATGACCTATAGTAATTTAGCTAATGTTTGTGGATGAAGTTTCCTGTCCTGTTGTTTGCTTACTGCATGAGTTATTTTCTTAGAATGTGCGGCTCAAGGCCACAAATGTGGAAGGAAGAAGGAGAATGAAGCAACACCCACATTTCTAAACATGTTATGCCTCTATATGCTATGCAATAGAGTTCTCAGTTAAGAGAAAAATTCTATTATATATGTCTTCCTAGATTAATTGCACTGGGAAACTCTTATCTTTTGAATAGACTGGACTTTTAGTTATAAATTTGTAGTTTGAACAAATCTATAGATGATGACATGAACCTTATAATCCTTTAATAAATAAATTAAATGTTTGATTATATATTCTGCAGTTTTTCTGAGTTTTATATTTTATGTAAATTAATGCAAATACATATATACAAATAATGGCTGAATGTACTTGAAACATTCTTATAGTTATCAAGTTATGGTGAACCAAGAATATTCTGGTCAAGAGAGACGATGATAGCATATAATAGGACTGATGTATGATTCATCCTTTATGTCCACTGCAGTGCACACATACCAGAAGAAAACTCTAATTCACATCATTAATAGATGCATATACCAGCTTATTATGAAAGAATTAAATATATTTGCACAGAATCTTTAGACTCATTGTTTCTTTGGCTTCCCTAGTTTTTCTTGAATTTAATTTTATATGATCATCTTCGAGCTGACTTCAATTCCATTCCTGGTATTCTTTCCTGGACAATGTCTACTTGTTCTCCTAATATCTAGCATCTTGATCTTTAAGGGAAACAATGCTTGACCCCACTGCTGTCTTCGCTCTTCTTTTCGGAAGTGAACTTTTTGAAGACTACATAGGACATCTAGCTGTGGCAGCAATGGCTTCCTGTGAAGTAGCTGGTGAGAGTGACAACCCCGAAAAACTACATGATAGGTTAAAGGCAAGTATTTTCATCATGTTTAAACATTCACTCTTTAAGTAGCAATCGGTTTATAGTCTTCCTTGATAGTAGCGCGTCAAAGAGAGTCAATATGCATATTCAAATTGGTTCTTTATGTACTAATTATTTAATTTTTCCACAACTTTGGTGGTTGCACTACTACCACCCAGAAAGGAATTGATGAGTTAAATCGTCACCTGGCACATCCATCCATTAAATGGGAATGGCTTACCACCAAATCAAGATGAGGTTCAACAGTTCTTGGATGAACCTTGTCATGACAATGTAGATGAAATTCTAAGTTTTTTTCTTAAAATATATTAGTTTTATCATGTCATGTGTAGTTCCATTTATTTCATTTTATCTAACCTTTCCCATTAATTTCTATAAAATTGCATAAGAAAGGCTGTCCAGAAAGAAAGAGAAGAAAAGCTTGCTAGGACACTGAAAGATTTTCTCCACCAATATGTTCAAGGTGACAGAGAAGGGTTCTTGCATCATGCAAAATATGAAGCAGAACGGCTATCCCATGCAGGTTAACTGAGCAGGCCACCACCTATTATTGCTTCTTTTTCTTCGTTAAGTAAACCATTCTAGTAACAGTTGACGATAATAATATTCTAGCTCTTTATCATTTGAAATCGTGCAAGAACTGAATGCCCTCAAATGCATTGACTATCATTCAAGGATACAATTTATCAGTTCCTTTCTGCGTTTATACAAATGACATGCTTAGTGTGAGAATTGACCCTCATTTGTGAAGTTATGCTTTGACCAGACTATAGAAAGGTTGCATTTTTAATTGGAGCGAGTACAAAAAAATAAAGCAGCTGGATAGCTATTGACAATTTTATGATAAAAATTGCCAAATTTATTCTTAATTTATTCTCAAGTCTTTCTGAATTTCTAAATTTTGGTAGGGATTATTCAATTTTGCTTGCCCAACTTTTTGCTGAATTTCTTATTTATTGCCTAATTTTTTTTTTATTATCTATTCTTTTATAAGATATACCATACAAGGTGGTATTCTCAAAAGTTTCCCGTAACTTCTTATATAAAAAGGCTATTGGCTTCAAAAGTTTAAAACTGTCTTTGTCCTAGTTGTGGCTTGAAGCAAGCATTTGTCTAACCATATCTCTATGATCTGTTTAAGGCTTTCTTGCTTTCATATGATGAACTTCTAATGTTTTCTTTTGTACTACGAAAGATATATTGACTAACATATATCTGTAGTTCTGTATTTGAATTTGGATACATTCACTAAATCTGCAGACAGAGTACTAGTGATAGAAAGAATATACTTCAGTGCTTGAATTGATGCTGCTAAAGAAATTTTCTAACCCGTTGCAATTACAGCTTTTGGCGTCAATATGTTACACACTATTGGCTACATATATGCAAGACAGGCAGCACAAGAGCTTGGAAAGAAAGCAATTTATCTTGGGGTGCCATTTTTGGCAGAATGGTTTCGCAATAAGGGTCATTTCTGGAAGTCACAGATTACTGCAGCTAAAGGTATACTGCACTTTGAAGAAAACATTGGCCATCTTCATATTTTGTGCTTTTCGTTACCTAATTTATTGAGAAATAACTGCAGGTGCTTTCCAGTTGCTTCAACTTCAAGAAGATACACGTCGACAGTTTAAAATGGATGGCAGTGGCACAGAAAATGATTTTGAATCCCATTTAAGATTAAACAAGGACACACTGATGAACTCATTATGGAAATTGAATGTAGTGGATATTGAAGTCACTCTTTTACATGTGTGCCAAATGGTGAGTTTAGGCTTTTAGTTTCCATCACTTCTACAATTTGCTGCTTTTTCATTCTAGGCTAAGGATTTGCTTTCTATCAACTGTAGAAAAAACGGTAGAAAAATCTATTCAATATGATGCAGAGTAAGTTTAATATCTTTATTTGTTTACAGGTACTTCACGAGATTAGTGTTAAGAAGGAAGAACTTAAAGCACGCGCCGTTGCTCTAAAAATTCTAGGAAAAATATTTCAGGTGCAAAATAAATCGTAAACTTTTGATGTGTCATGTGCTTTCTTTTTTTTTTCCTAGTCATGCTATAACCAAAATTTTATACATCTGAACCTATGGTTATATATGAAAATGTGGCACATATTAGGTGTTTACTGTAGTCCATTGTACTTGATATATGCTTACAAATTGTTCACTCTTGTGCCACTCTTTTTTTTTATATATACAAATTGATCATGGAGTACAAACTAGTTTCATATATTGTAGATTAGTTTATAGTATTTGCTTTGTTTCATTTTCTGGATAAATGAATTAGGAGTCCAAGAAAACATCAGTTTTAAGAAAAAAATCAACACAGCAGTGGTTCAAAATCTGTGATTTAACTCAAAAAAATGAGAACTCTTTTTATACCTAGTGATCTGACATTGTTCTCTTGTTATAGAGAGAAAAGTATATACGAAGTGGTGGAACGTCATCAAACAAAAATATTTCATCCGACATACATGAAGATGAGAGCAGTTCTGATAGCAGTGATGAAGAAGATTCACCAAGAACACTTAATTATCGTACTCCTCTAATCACACAGGCATGTTCAATGCTTCTCTTAACATTAATGTATTAGCTGCAAGCGCTTCCATTTTTACCTTATAATACAAGTGCCTACACACAACTCACATAAACACAAAGTCAGGCATTTCCATTTTGATTTTATTTTTAATGTTTTGGTAAGTAAAAAATTTATTCCCATCAAAAATTTCACGCAAGTCACTTCCTGCTGTTTCTCATATTCGTAAGTGTTTATTTGAATTTCACAGTATTCCCATCAAAATTTATTGTTTTCTTGTTTTAGGCATAGAATTGATGATGACAAGTTTCTGTTACTTTTCTCCTGTGGCAGGGCATTGGTAGGCTCTTCAGGTGCCTCTGTAATCCAGCATTTGATGTGGATGATGAAGAGATTGTGTACAAAAGCAAATAAAAGCACAAAACCTGCATTCAGAATTGTTTTCATTTGGTCTCTTTTGAGATTTTGATGCACAAAAGCATCTTATTGAAATAAAAACCTGATATGAGAGAAAAAGAAGGCAAAAACTGTGAATTTGTGTGTTTCTGGAATGACCTGGTGTTACCAGCATCTATATTTCATGACATAATGACTGGTTAGTCTGCATAGATGAATTGACGACATAGATTCCATTATCTCCGGTTGTCTTTTTCCTGGAAAACGAGGGGGGGACTAGAACACTGGCACACCCGTTCGGGGAGTTGGCGCTCTACCAACTGGGCGACTGAGTAATGCCCTATGATCACCGGTTGTCACAAGGATCAAAATGTTCACCAATTTTTCACTGCTGCAATGGCACCTGGTCATGCCAAATCTTAGTTCAATAAATGCATACAAGAGTTAAGTTAGGGCACAAGAGACACAACACGATTTACAATAACTTTGTTACCAACCTTCACTGTCAGCTCAAATAGTACAAGAAATCCTGCCAAAGGTCTGCAGCAAGCTTACAATGTATTCTCTATGTTTGTTAGCAAACCCTAGCTGTCCATAAACAGGCCGATTACACAACTGCCCGAAACAATCCACTGACACCCTCAACAGCTCTAGGGTGTGTGTTGGCATAATGGCATGCAACAAAGGCTGCCAGAAAGACTTATAGTTGACATCCCCAATTACCAAGTCTGTTCAGAAGAGCAATAAAGAAGCTGATACAACTCAACAGCTACCAATCCAAAAAAAAATAAGCGAACAGCTCTATCACTGATAATGCATCGTCAGGACGACGATTTCCAGAAAATACTTGATATGTATAATAATGTATGGCTAACTGGGACAGGTCTTCTAATAAGTAAATAAACCAAATCGTAGAAACATAAATAAAGTAAATCACATAAAACATATTATGAGTATCATACAATATGAACTATGTTACTTAATTTCCCCCAAAAATACAAAATGAACTATATAACTTCTCTTTCTTGGGAATAATGGACTATATTTTGTCTTGAGCAGGGAACCTACAAACAAAATACAGCTACAAAGAAACCATCATGAATTTGATTACATTTGAAGCTCATGAAATATGAACGTATAGCAGTGTAGTAGTGAAGCAGTCTTCGCTGTCATTCAAAACTACTACCACCACCACCACCACTATTATTACCTACAAATGTAATTCAGATTTAAGGTTTTATTGACTTTGCTGAAACTGTGTGAACAAAGGTACAAAAAGATGTAATAAGTGGTGAAAGGAAATATAGCAAGCTATCCTTTCTATTATTTAGAAAAATGTGGGATGAGTTGCTCTGATGAAGGGTGGAAGTTCTCATTTTCCCCGTTCAAGAAGGTGCACAACCTGCAGTTTTGATCAGAAAAATAACTAATTAGTGAAGGAAAGAGCAAAGAGGAAACTAGTCATTATTAAGAGACCCCAAGTTTATCAGGAGTGTGATTTGTGAAGAATTTCCAAACAAACAAAGTAAATGAAGAAACATAAAGGCCTCGTTTGGTGTAGTTTCGAGTAACTTATTTCTATTCTTGGAACTAAAAAAGACAAAATAATGTAAAATATCTATTCAGTTTGCTGTTTCGAATATGAATTCTTACTTATCAAAAAAATATATATTTGAAGAAGAAGAAGTTTCCTGTTTCAAATATTGTTTTCAGGAAATTGAGTAGAAAATGATGTTTTTAGTAGAAACGTTGTAATTATGTTTTCAGTTATCTGTATTTTTCAGTCAGAAATACTAAATTATAATAATAAACCGTGTTCTCACAGTCTCTTCCAATTTTCCTCTGAACTACATGGGTAGTTGAGGGGTTAATGATATTGTACAGTGAGAATTATTTGGCCTCTTAAAACCTTTATGCTATGTTTGGTTGGAGGGAAGGAAAAGAGGGAGGAAGCAATAGGGATGAAGCATCACTCCTTCCTTCCAACAAACAAAAAATAAAAAGTTTCCCCCCACCCATCATTTCTACTATCCATTCCATCCAACCAAACAAACAATGAGGAGACACCTTCCCTTCCCTAGGGATGCCTCATCCATCCCTTCCCCTCTCCATTCCATCCATTTTTCCATCCCTCAAACCAAATGGAGCATTAAGTAAGACAGTATTCAAAGCATAAATAATTGGTTACCTCTCCCATTGATGGACGCATCATAGGGTTACTTTGCGCACATATGTATGCTGTTTTAGCCATGTTGTACAATTGATGTGGATCATATGAGAATCCAATACGAGGATCAATGAGTTCATGTAATGCAAGTCTCTGAATAATTGGTTCTGCCTGTAATGCCACAAGACATTGTCAGAAGAACATGAAAACTGGTTTTAGTTTCCCTAAAACATTTAGTTCATTGGAAAAAAGAAAAGCTTCAAATTGATTTTACTGCAAAGTCTGGCATAAATGCAAACAGAGTAGCACACAGCTGTGACAGCCAGAACAACATACCCACTTTCGCAGGGACTGTTGCTGATCCTCTCTCTCTGATTCAATCACCTTGCGTCCCGATATCAATTGTAGCAGAACAATACCAAATGCATAAACATCCGTCTTTACAGAAACAATTCCATTTTCTGTATACTCAGGTGCAAGGTATCTACATAAACATAAGCTTCTTTGTGAGTGTTCTGATTATAAACAGCACGGATACAGAAATGAGTCACAACATTTTTTTTTTATGAGGTATTTTAAAATAAAAAACTTTGTACCTACCCTAATGTCTGCACAGGATCATCATTAGTCTTCCACTTTGCAAGGCCACAGTCACTAGTCCTCCAGTTTGCAAGGCCAAATTCACCTAACTGTATGATTTTTTTAAAAAAGATGAATCCATAAATCGCAAGAAAGCATTTTACCTAGTTTCTGAACCACAAAGCTTTGATCATGTTATGATATCATTCTCTCTTTACAGGGGAGAAATTCTTTCTTTTTGTTTTTTTCTTTGGGGGGAATCTTCAAGTCTTCTTTTTTCTTTTCTTTTTTAAGTTTCACACAACAATAATCCCAAACATTCCACTAAAGTCTTGTGTGAAGCAAAAGACATGAGTTTCTCGTTCCATTCCAGTGAATGTAACATTCCACTAAAGTCTTGTGTGAAGCAAAAGAAATGAACTTCTCGTTCCATTCCAGTGAATGTAACTAAGAAGGGGACATGGCTAGGTCACGGAGCAAGCGAATCTTTAAATGTTATAATGGCTGAATATACGATGTTGTTAACATTTTTCGTTCATATCTTGGCTGAAATGGTCTGTCTACCCACATGAAAATTTCTCTCGTATTAAGCTAAACATGTAGTATCTGAAATAGATCAAGAAAATATGCTATAAAATTTAGGTGAAGAACAGATCCTTCCTTTGCCAGACACAACCATTGGTAAGGTGCCCAGCAACACAATCTCCAAAAACTGAGATCCAATAAATCGTAGAAGCAGCCATGACATGTTCGATATGGATCAAAAATGTTCGATACCAAAGTAGATGCTGATATTACAACTCTTTATTCTTAATGCCAATGTCCTTAATCTATTGTTCTACACACCAAAACTTTAACTAAATTCTTTCTGCACCACTTAAATCCATACTATCATGTTTTCAATCAATATGGAAAGCAAATAATTTATGAGGAAAATAATATGCTAGACCTAAACTTTTGGGACAATGGATCTCATTTTTCAAATTTTACCAGAGATTGGTGGATTCTGAGAATAGAAATGTAAACTGAAAAGAACAATTACAAGATATCACAAAATAGCAATTCCAATTCCAATTTTTTTGTTCCATAGTTCACCAATCCAGTAGATTACATGACTTCATATGCTCTCAAATCTTTTTGAAAAGAATGAATGAGAAAGAAGAGATATCCGAGGGCACAGAAAAATTAAAGTTCACAGCTTGAAGAAAATAAATTCGAAAACAGAACGCCTAAACAGTTCCATTCATTACTCAGATTAATAAAGGAATTATTAAGTGACTCAGTGTTTTTTAACAGATCCTCCGAATCAAACAGACTTGATTATTCCAGGATCTCTCTCAATAACAAACTCACACATGACACATCGCAACCCTTTAGGGGGAAATAGAAATGGAAAATTAATAAATATTTAATCAAATCTAAGTATATAGATGAGTTTTCTGCACTTCTAAATCAAGCATGGACAGTTATGATGCCAATAACGTGTAAAAGACTTGGGAAGTAATCAAAAGTTACCAATCCACTCTAGTGTAGAAGAATACCATAAGAAAACAAATATCAAGACCAATAAAAGAAATTTGAGGGGCTTAAATTAGGTTTAGAAAATACAACCACATATTCTATTTGCAGGGAAACCAACATAATATCCACAAAGATACATGGAACATATTCTGAGATTAAAATGAAGTTTACTAATAGAATAATAAATATTACTCACAACAAAATTATACGATATGTCTCCATCTTGATTATCAGTTATCTCATAGGCTTGAACAAGGGGAAAAAAACCATCCACGTGCACGTGCAATGTACTCAACTCAACTCAGGCTCTTAGGCCATTTTCAATCTCATTTCAGTCTTATTTTGATAGTCTTAAATTGAATTTGTAATTTGAGGCACATTAGGAAAGCGTTAAGCAATACACTTTTGTAGTGTTTTGTGCACTGACATGAATAGAGATTTTCATGAAATTTCATGGCTTTTATGCCTTCAAGATTTTTTTATGAATTATACTCCAATAGTTTATCACTCCATTTTTATGAAGCCTATTCTGAAAGGCGAAGAAAACGTTAAGCAGTTAGCAAGATGACCCATAAAATTTAATTGGGGGGTCAGCAAGTTCCATATAATTTGGTAACATGGTATGTAGATATGCCTCTTATTTATTTAAAAAATAAAAAATAATAAAAATGAACACACCATAATCACTAACGTAAACAAAAAAAAAATGAATAATCAAAATCATGAACAAATGTTTAACAAAATACTGTCAACTCGTTCAAATGCCATAAAAACTAGAAAGGGGCCTTTCAAATTGTACGAAGAAAACAATGGACAAAATATGAAGATTAAAGAAGTGATTATATATTTACCACAGGTTCAAAGTCATGTGTGATTAGTATATTGCTTGGCCGAATGTCCCCATGAATTATAGGACGACGGCTCTTTTCGTGTAGAAAACGCAACCATTTTGCAGTCCCTATAGCAATAGCATGTCTTTGATACCAGTTAAGAGCATTTGCTTCTTTATCTATAAGAATGCCCCCAACAAAAGTGACATAAAGGGAGAAAAAAAAAAATATATATATATATATATATATATATATAGAATGGAAAATATAATATAGAACAAGAAATTTATTGGCAAAAGAGCTAGAGAATATTGAGATGGAGGATTTGGGACTTACCGAAGAGAAGCCTTCCCAGGCAGTAATTCCAGATGTGATCCCTGGAATTTTCAGCATGGGGGTCTATTCGAAATGGATAGTCCACATCACTTAAAGAGTTAGGATCTAATTTATTTTTGACCACTTCAATGATACTTTGAATTACCTCCGACCTAGGCCTGCAAATTAGCAATTAGTAAGACTGACAGATCAGTGAACTAAAATAAGTCATGCTAGTTAGTGTATGCATGTAATCTTAATTTATTATGTCAGACATAAAAATCATGGTATTTCTATTTGTCATTAAAAAGTCCAATGTTGAACAAGGCCCTTGCATTCCAATTACAAGAGAGTAATGTTATTCCCGCCAAAGGGTTTGAAGAAAATAGGAGCCGAAGATTCCCAATACAATGGATATACTCAACTGGATTCCACTGGGTGTTGGAGAAAGAGTTTTCGGCTTTCTATTTTGTTCAAACTCTTCGGCTATAAAATCATTATAGTCCAAAAAGAGTACCCGTTTTGAAAGTGCCAACCGGACAAATTTGCAGCCTCAATCAAAGCAGCTCTCCAACTCAGAACCCGGTAGTCTCCGAAACGCTCTTTGTGCCTGGCAAATGCTTCAGCGTATACCCCACTCTGTGAACGCACGTTGGACGGATCTACGTCATAAAAAACAGGAAGAACATTATGTCCCAAAGTCTTCCTGCACTCCATGATCTTCACAAGCTCTTGGAGGCACCATCTGGAGGACGCGTAGTTTTTCGAGAATACAATGATGGAGACCCTTGATTCCTCGATTGCTTTCAGCAATTCAGACCCAATGTATTCACCTTTTCTGAGTTGGTTTTCGTCTATGAACGTGGACAACCCGTGCTCCACCAAGGCCTTGTATAGGAAGTCGATAAAGGAGAGGCGAGTATCGGAGCCCCTGAAACACAAGAAGACATCGTAAGTCCGTGAAAGTGCACTATTGTTCAACCCACCGCAAGAATCTGCTGCCATTTTCGAAAATAAAATACTTCTGGATCAAAATCAAATGAACAGAAAGAGGAGCATTGTTAGTGAAATGATAGCCCGGCACTTACTATATGGCGGAGAGAACCACCTTTCCTTTTCCTTTCCTCACTTTCCAAGAAAGTGCGGACTATGTTTGGTATAACAAGAGAGTTTGATTTCTTTATTTGTTTATAAGGAATTTCAGAGAAAATGTTTCATTGCTATGTTTCTTTGTAAAAATGGATGATAAAAAGTTTCTGTTACTTTTCTCCTGTGGCAGGGCATTATGGACTCTTCAAGTGCCTCTATAGTCCAGCATTTGATGTGGATCGGATGACGAAGAGATTGTGTACAAAAGCAAATAAAAGCACAAAACTTGCATTCAGAATTGTTTTCATTTGGTCCCTTTGAGATTTTTTTTATGCACAATGCATAATCGAAGAAGATCCATTTTGCTCCTGTGAGATTTTGGTACACATAAAAAGCATCGTATTGAAATAAAAACCTGTTATGAGACAGCAAGAAGGCACAAACTGTGAATTTGTGTGTTTCTGGAGTGGACCTGGTATTACAGTATCTATAATTCATGACAAAATGACTGGTTAGTCTGCATAAATGAACCGGCGAAATAGATTCTATTATCACCAGTTGTCACAAGGGTCAAAATGTTTGCCAATTTTTCACCGCTGTAATGGCACCTGGTCACACCAAATCTTAGTTCAATCAATGCATGCACAAGTTAAGTTTAGGGCACAAGGGACATAACATACTCAATTTACGGGAACTTTGTTCCCGACCTTCACTATTAGCTCAAATAGTACAAGAAATCCGGCCAAAAGTCTGCAGCAAGCTTACAATGTATTCTCTATGTTAGCAGACCCTAGCATGTCCATAAATAGGCCAATTACAAAACTCTGAAACAATCCACTGACACCCTCAACATCTCTTGGGTGTGCTGGTATAATGGAATGCAACAAAGGCTGCCAGAAAGACTTGTAGTTGACAACCCCAATAACTATAGTCTGTTCAGAAGAGCACTAAAGAAGCTGATACAACTGAACGGCTACCAATTCACTGAACGGCTACCAATTCAAAAAAAAAATTAAGCGAACAGTTCTATCACTGATAATGCATCGTCAGGACAACCACTTCCAGAAAATACTTCAGCACTGCTCAACCCAATACAGCCAGCTAAATATATAATAGCATAGTAGTTTCTGATCATTAGGAATCAATTAATTCATATCCAATGTAACAAGAAATGGAAAGTCCAAACAGATGCAGTTTGCAATGCCCTAATGCCAGTTTGTAAATAATACCGAAAATCACATGTATTCTTACTTATATTTCATTCAAAGAGGTAGATGAGCACAAATGTATACTCCATCAATGTTCTAACATCGCTGGCCGTGAGGAGGTTTCCTCAGGGCCCTTTCTAGGATTGGAGTATCATTCATTTGTAGGGCATATTGATGGGCACTTACAGTCTACTCAGACTTGTAGGGCTTCATTAGTTGGAACTTAGGATTGAATTTAAAAGCCTAGTCTCTCTGATCCAAAAGTATATTATGAACCATCACTCGAAGCAATATTATAACTACTTGATGGGTATAATATATGGCTAACTGGGACAGGTCTTCTAATAAGTAAATAAAGTAAATCACAGAAACATATTACGACAGTCAACCAATATGAACTATATTACTTAATTTCCTGAAAAAAAACAAAAATGTACTATATAACTTCTCTTTCTTGGGAATAATATACGATGTTTTGTCTTGAGCAGGGAATCTACAAACAAAATACAGCTACTAACAAAACTTTCATAAATTTGATTACATTTAAAGCTCATGAAATATGAATTTATAGCACTGCAGCAATGAAGCAGTCTTCACTGTCATCAAAACTTAAGAAGAAAAAGAAAACATGAGCCAACCAATGTAATTCAGATTTAAGGCTGTATTAACTTTGCTGAAACTGTATTAACACAGGTACAAAAAGATGCATTAACTAGCAAAAGGAAATATATGCTATCCTTTCCATCATTTAGAAAAATGTGGAATGAATTGCTCTGCTAAATGGTGGAAGTTCTCATTTTCCCCTTCAAGGAGGCGCACAACCTGCAGTTGTGATCAGAAAAAAATTCTAATTAGTGAAGGAAAGAGCAAGAGGAAATTAGGCATTATTAAGAGTCCCCAAGTTTATCCGGTGTATGATTCATGAAGAATTTCCAAAAAGCCAAAGTAAATGAAGAAACATAAAGACCTTGTTTGATATAGCTTCAAATAACTAATTTCTAGTCTTGGAACGAAATAAGACAAAATAAGGTAAAATGTCTGTCCAGTTTGCTGTCTCGAATACTGTTTCCAGGAAATTGACTAGAAAAGGATATGTTTATTAGAAACATTATAATTATGCTTTCAGTTCCCTGTTATTTGTTTTCCAGTCAGACATACCAAATTAGAAATATTCATATTAATAGTTATTATTATTATTATAATAAATTGTGTTCTCAATATTTTCTACTATTTTCAGACTCAAATTTTCTTTTAGGTATTTACTTCAATAATGGCATTGAGCTGAATTTGTAAAAGCTTTTATTTTTCAGTGGTCCTTGCAATGCTTTTATCAAAGCCACCAAGGTATTTAGAAAAGTGACACAAAACTTAAGAAGTACTTTAGACTACATAGTAACCAAAACTCTGAAGTTTTAGTCTTTCTTTTTCTGTTTTTATAAAGTTTTCAGTTTATATTAGTCTCTGTTACATGGATTCTAATATTTCCTTTCATGTACTCATGTCAACATGACACGATACATGAACCCAAATGGACACGTCGGTCCTTCAGATTACGCGATTGAAGAAACTCAAATTTAAGGTAGAGATGAATTTCTTATCTATAAAACAGATGGGAACCCTTTTCTTTTACCACACCCCATTTAATTTAAGTAATAATTGAGTATATTCTTATAAAACAACATTAAACATTACACTTCTATAAAAACATGTGATGTATTAAAATGCATAGTACGTGTCTACATATCCGTATCCAGCATTTTGACACATATTCCCGTATCCTAAGTTTTGGGATTTGAGAGGTCTGACTTGAACACACACCTGCACCTGAGACATTTACCCAGGTCCATATAACATAGAATTATTAGTGTTGTTATATTATTCCAAATTAATTAAGAATCCAGGGGTAAACAGATCTCCACTCTCCAATGTATTCAATTCATAATATCTTAATATATATCCCCCTTGGAGCGTCTTTCAATAAATTTTACTTATAAAAAAAATAATAATATCTTTATATATATATATATATATATATATATATATATATATATATATATATTTGTCGCACATCTGTGTGTGTGTCTCTCTAGAGAGAGTGGGTTTGTGTGTGCGCATATGCATATCTGGGTAAGATTTCTGATAAGTTGTGAAAGTTAAATCTCCACAATCAGATGAAATTCAGTCTTTCTCTTGGTGGTTGAATCAATAATCAAAATGTTACATTGGTTCTAGATTATGAGGAATGCAAGTCTTCTATATGCTAAATATATATATAAGGACCCCATTAAGATGAGAATACTTAGTTGAAATGAAATTTTTCATGAGGATTTTGTGATACACATGAGGATGTATACATGTATGTGGGTAGTTTTTTGATGTATAATCAAAATGAATCAAGTTATGGTGTCTTACATAGGATTTCAAATGAGATCGTTTGTAGCATGAATTGATTCTACTTATTTTATAATCACTTGAAGGAAGGTACTTCTCATCTCACATAATCTCTTCCAAATTTCCTCTTAAGTATATGGGTAGTTGAGTGGTTTATGATATTGTACAGTAAAAATTATTTAAATTGTCATTTGGCTTTTTAAAACCTTTAAGTAAGACAGTACTCAAAGCATAAATAATTGTTTACCTCTCCCATTGATGGGCGCATCTCAGGGTTACTCTGCACACACATGTATGCTGTTCTAGCCATGTGGTACAATTCATATGTATCATATGACTCTCCAATACGAGGATCAATGAGTTCATGTAATGCAAGTCTCTGAATCAGTGGTTCTGCCTGTAATGCCACAAGACATTGTCTTAATTGCAATGAAGAACATGAAAACTGTTTTCAGTTTCCCTAGAACATTTAGTTCATCTGAAAAAAGAAAAAGCTTCAAATTGATTTGACTGAAAAGACTCTCATAATTTTGCAAACAGAGTAGCACACAGCCAGAACAACATACCCACTGTCGCATGGACTGTTGCTGATCCACTCTCTCTGATTCAATCACCTTGCGCCCTGATATCAACTGTAGCAGAACAATACCAAATGAATAAACATCTGTCCTTACAGAAACAATTCCATTTTCTGTATACTCAGGTGCAAGGTATCTGCATAAACAAAAGCTTCTTTGTGATTATTTTGACTATAAACAGCACAAACACAGAAATGAATCACAACATTTTCTCTCTGAGGAATTTTAAAATGAAAAGCTTTGTACCTACCCTAATGTGCCAAGTATTCGCGTCTGCACAGGATCATCACTAGTCTTCCACTTTGCAAGGCCAAAGTCACCTAGCTGTGTGAAAAAGATGAATCCTTAAATCACAAGAAAGCATTGTACCAAGTTTCTGAACAACAAAGTTTTGATCATGTTATGATACCATTCTCTCTTTACAGAGGAGAATTTCATTCTTTTTGTTTTTTCCTTCAGGGGGAAATCTTCAACAGTCAACAATTTAAGTTTATCATACAACAATAATCCCAAACATTCCACTAAAGTCTTGTGTCCAGTGAATGTAAGAAAGAAGGGGACATGGCTAGGTCAAAGACCCAGCGAATCTTTGAATGTTACCATGGCTGAACATACGATGTTGTTAACATTTTTCGTTCATATCTTGGTTGAAATGGTATGTCTACCATAGAACACCCCACATGAAAATTCTCTCATTTTAAATTTGAAATGTAGCATCAGAAATAGATATATATATATATATATATATATATATATATATATATATATATATATATATATATGCTATAAAATAAGCAAACAACAGATCCTTCCTTTGCCAGGCACACCAATTGGTTAGGTGACCGGCAACGCAATCTCCAAAAACTGAGATCCAATATATCATAGAAGCAGCCATGACATTACGTTCGACATGGATTAAAAATGTTCAATACCAAACTAGATGCTGATATCACAACTCTTTATCTCAATGCTAATTTCCTCAATCTATTGGAAACACACCAAAACTTTAACTAAACTCTTTCTGCACCACCTAAATCCAAATTATCCTATTTTCAATCAATATGGAAAAAGAATAATTTATGAGGAAAATTATAAGCTAGACCTGAACTTTTGGAACAGTAGATCTCATTTTTCAAATTTTTCTAGAGATTCGTGGATTCTGGGGATAAAGTGTAAACTGAAAAGAAAAATTACATGATATCACAAAATAGGAAATCCAATCCAAATATTTTTGTTCCATTGTTCTCCAATCCAATAGATTAGATGACTTCATACGCCTTAAAATCTCTTTGAAAAGAATGGACTCAGCTTTAGAAATAAGAGATGTCTCAGACAGAAAAGTTAGAAGTCACAGTCTCAAGAAAAAAAAATTTGAAACAGAACATGTAAACAGTTCCAGTCATTACTCAGAGAAATAAAGGAAATATTAAACGGCACAACTCTGCGTGAGAAAGAAGAGATGTCTCAGACTTAGAAAAGTTAAAAGTCACAGCCTGAAGAAAAAAATCTGAAAACAGAACACCTTAACAGTTCCAGTCATTACTCAAGAGGAATACAGGAACTATTAAGTGGCTCAATATTTTTTTACCAGATCTTCCAAATCGAACAGATTTGCTTATTCAGGACCTACTACTTAAATTGAAATAATTGAATCTCAATAACAAACTCATACTCGTACATTTCAACCCATTTATGGGGAAAAAGAGATGAAAATTTGATAAATATTAAACCAAATCTAAGGATATAGATGCACTTCTCTTCTAAATCAAGTATGGACTGTTACGATGCCAATAACATGTAAGGGACTTCAGAAGTAAAACCTCATTTGATCAAAAGTTACCAATCCACTTGAGTATAGTAGAACAACATTAGAAAATAAATATCAAGACAAATAAAAGACCTTTGAGGGGCTTAAATTAGGTTCCGAAAATATAACCACAAATTCTATTTGCAGGGAAACCAACATAATATCCACAAAGATATATAGAAACATATTCTGATATTAACATGAAGTTTACTTAAAAACATTACTCATGACAATATTACAAAATATGTCTCCATTTTGATATCAATTATCTCATAGGCTTGAACAAGGGGGAAAAACCATCCATGTGCACGTGCCATGTACTCAACTCAACTCAACTCAGGCTCTTAGGCCTATTTCAATCTCTTTTCAGTCTTATTTTGATAGTCCTGAATTGAATTTGTAATTTGAGGAACAATAGGAGAACGTTAAGCAATGCACTTTTATAGTGTTTTGTGTTCTGACATGATTACTAATTTCATGAACTATTCTCCTAAGTTGTATTATTTTTGACCCAGGCCTTTTGACATTATTTTTATTCTTTTGATGACTTCACGATATTTCTTGGCCTTTTATGCCTTCAAGATATTTATATGAATTTTCTTCAATAGTTTATCACACTCCCAATTTCTAATTTTCTGTATTTATCACTCTGTTTTTATGAAGCCTATTCTGACGTCTAAAAAACACAAAGACAGTTTGGTAATGAAAAAGGGGGGGGGGGGGGGGGGGGGGGGGGGGGGGGGGGGGGTTGGGAGGAAAACATTAAGCAATTAGCAAGATGCCGCATTGAATATAATTGGGGGGTCAGCAAGTGCCGTGAAAAAAAAAAAAAAAAAAAAGAAAAAAGAAAAACAGTTGCATGTCACATGCATTAGCAAGTTGGTAATATGGTACGTAGATATGTCTCTTATTATTAATAAAATAAAAAATGCAGACGACACCATAATCACTAATGTAAACAAAAAAAAAAAAAATGAACTATCAAAATCATGAACAATTGTTTAGCAAAATACTGTAAACCCATTTAAATGCCATAAAAACTAGAATGGAGGCCTTTCAAATTGTATGAAGAAAAGAATGGACTCCAACAATTTCCATGGGCCAATCAACCAACTTGAAAGGAAAAAAAAATGAAGACAAAGGAAGTGATTATAAATATACCATGGGAACAAAGTCGTGTGTGAGTAGTATATTGCTTGGCCGCATGTCCCTATGAATTATAGGACTACGACACTCTTCGTGTAGAAAACGCAACCCTTTTGCAGTCCCTATAGCAATGGCATGTCTTTGGTGCCACTCAAGAACCTTTGCTGCTTTGTCTATAAGAATGCCCCAACAAAAGAAACAGAAAGGGAGAAAAAAATGAGAAAGGAAAAAAGAACCACAATTGATATAACGTTGATAACATAGAACAAGAAATATATTGGCAAAAGAGCTACAGAATATTGAGATGGATGGATTTGAGAAACAATCTCTAAAAAGTACTTACCAAAGAGATGCCACTCAAGGGAGTTATTGCAGATATACTCATAGACCAAAATGTTATATTTTTCTTTGCAACAATAACCCAGCAGCATCACAATGTTCTTGTGACGTGCAAAGCTTAGGACATATAATTCAGAATGGAATTCCTTGAATCCCTGAGTACTTTCTGCTTTCCGCACCTTTGCAGCAATGAGCTGCCCATCCTTAAGCTTACCTTTGTATACAAAACCATATCCACCTTCTCCAAGCATGTTCTCCTTCGAAAAATCATTTGTTGCAAATTGTATCTCACTATAACTAAATCTCATGGAATCCTTGATATACAACTCAGTCTTCATACCGCAACCGGTACAGAGAAGAGGTGCATCAGCGTAGCTCTGTCGGTTAGGAGTTCTACGCTGTTTCTGGATGATCTGTGGAGAAATAGGGTGCTTACTTTCTTCTTTGGTGTACCTATCTGTTCACATTATTGAAGGTAAGTGAGAGAGAGAGAGAGGAGGGGGGTGGAAGAGATTTTGCTGCCGAGTCTTTTACTGATGCAGTAGTCCTAAAGCACAGACATGACAGATAAGAAATGCAAGGCCATCCAATGCACAAGTATTATGTAGCGGACCCCAAACAGTTGGGATAAGACTTTGTTGAGTTGAGTTGAGCTGTCCAAGTGAAGTGTGTGTGACTGTTCATATTTTATAAATTCCCAAGTAATGATGTTATCCTACACACCTAGAATTGATATTTGAAACACCCGTGAATGCATGGTCTAGAGACGGGATTTTTGGCCCAGAAGTCAAACGAATGGCACAATTAACATGATCAAAGCTACAGATATAATAAGCTTTTTCTAACCTGATTTCTCATGCTTAGAGGTAGAGCCAAAATCATCAAATGATGAAAAGCTATTCTCCCGCGACCTGTACTTAAATGAAGATGCCAAGTTGGTCTTACTCATATCAGAGTTTTCCAAGGAACTGATGGACGCATTGTAGCTTCTGCAAGAGACAACAGACTGCTCGATGCTCATATTATCTTGACCAGCTGAAAGTGGGACAGGCTTAGATAAAGAAAGAAACAACTTATGCTCTATATTATCCGTATCAGTGGTAGTATGAGGTCTCAAAACCTCCACAGACAAGTTATCTTGAACTAATGCCAGCTTGCAAGGTATTTGTTTAAGGTAAAATCTCAAATCCCGTCTGAGGTGCCTGTCAAGATTTGTAATTTGATATTAAAGGCAGTAAAATAAAGAAGAAGAAGCAACTAAAGAACGACATGCACGCACACATAAAGGTTTGTATGTGTTTGCAGGAAGGTAGGGGCATGTTTGTATGGAAAAACACATATTACTAATTTACTATTCAAATATTGAAATTGAAATATATTTCAAGGTTTTTAAAAGTAATAAATAATTATAAATGGTTCAGATTTTTTAGGTTTAATGATCTAATTAGTTTTGAAGATCTTATCTAGGGAATGTATTAGTGAATTTTTAAAATCTTTAAATTGTGCATCCATGCAGAACAATTTCTCTCCTCACATATAAACAATAAATACAATATCCTTATAAAAGTTACACTAGATGAAAAAACAAAATCAACATAGTCAAATAAATTATAACATTAGTTTGAAACCTCCAACGAACTTGTTTGAATGATAGTTTCATCAAATGTTAAAGGAGAAATTTTATGATCTGAGATATAAATGTGAGATCATAAAATTTCTGCTACTTTTTGGAGGACCATCAACTCGTAAAATTCTTACTTAAAGTAATTTATCTGCCATAGAATTTTATTAGATGATTCCTTAATGAGATAGCAATGAAACTTGACCACCAAATAACTTAACTGTTACAAATTACCTTACTGACAAGGAAAACGAATTTGTCAATCTTCCAATGACTAATCAAATTAAGAAATCTGAAACAAAAACTATTTCAATTCAAAGATAAGATGAGATATACACCTTAAACAGTATCTACATTTAAAAACATGACAGATAATTAACAATTTTAAATCATCAACTGAATACCAAAATAAATAACCTAAATCAGCTACAACTTACATGCGGCCCTGCAATCAATTTTCACAAGCTCCTGATTTAATAAGTCATCTTGGAATTTTGTAATACGATGCACAATGAATCAAAAGAGAAAAAATTCACCTGTCTAGTATAACCCAAGTAGCGTTACAGGTCGTAACCTCTTGTAAAACGACCTTCTTGATTGGAGTTCCAGCAGTAATCTTGACTTCAATGTTAACCTAAAGAAGACAAAGGAAATAATGAGATGACAGACAAAAAAAAAATAGTAAGGAACAATAAACAGTATGAAGTCCTTCAAACAAATCAGTAATGTAGCAATGAGCATTATTGTTACACAAATATGCACAAATTGTATAGCCAACACTATAATTATGCTGAAGTTCTCACTGAAAATGAAAAATAATATACATATTATTCTTGATATTTCATTTGTAGCAGATGCTAGATAAGGTCACATCTGGTGGAAGCAACCCCTTACCAGCACATTTTAGTCCAATTGAATTTAATTTATAATAGAAAAGAAAGCAAAAGACAAGACACATTTCTAAGATTAGACGACTTCCATAAGGTGAAATTGTGATTGATCCTGCAATCAACTTTACAAGAAGGAAAGGGAAAGACCATCTATCCTGGGAGAATATCAATAAATTAGATATCACAGGTCCTACTGAAAACACCTACAATTAATTCAAGCTCTTAACCATCACGATCACATTCCAAGACCCAACTATTATGGGCTAGCTAGATGGATTTGCTGAAATCATTCCATTCCATCAACGGCCAAACTTTGCCCCAGCATTTGTTGAGTTTCTCAAAATACATGTTCACATGGGTCTAACTAAGATTCATGCTGGTCCAGGTCAGCTACCTAATGCATTCCTCCCTTTGTTATGCTTGGCATAGTGGCTCCAAGTTACCACTAGGCTAAGTCACCAATTTGACTGTCTAATATAAAGTGAAAATACCATTATTCCAAGCAAGATGGAGGCTATGGTTTCCAAGAGAGTGAAATAGAGAAACAGGATTCGTGTAGCTGAACTCAAAAGGGAAGAAGGCTTTGTTGAGTTGCGTTAGAGTATTAAGCAAGATGGGCAATTTCTTTTCAATATCAAGAGCTATCACACTATATATTCCAATGTTAATGATATCTAGAAAAAATTCAGAAATTTTGGGATATAGAGTAGATTCAGTGTATGTATGTGATGTAGATACTACAATATAGTTTAGATTGCACCACCGCCCCCATAGGTATGCCAGATATATATATAGGGTGGATAGAACTTAAGCATTTATTACACTAACCTCCCTGTCAGATTGTCAAGTAACTGGTATTAAGCAGCTCACATAAAATGTCATTTATACCCCTCTTGTTTTATTATTTTTTAACAAAAATCAACAAGAGGTAATCAGCTTCTCCTTTTCTCTTATATACCCATCTCTTTCACACTAAAATATTTCCCCATCTTTCTTTCTCTCACTAAAGTTCCTAATTTCTTCACCAACTACCCATGAATCCACCACCATTACCACCACCTGACCCATTCCTGTCTATCACTCTAACCCCACCCTCAATCCTCCTCCTATGCTCTCTCTCTCTCTATATCTATACACTATTCATTTTAGACAATGAAAAACTAAGGCACCTATTATTTTTAACATTTAATTTTACATAGTTCTTTTTTGGGATATTTTGATTAATTCTCTATAAACATACTTTCGACGACATCCTGAACAATTCTCACATAATTTCTTTTAATCCTTCCCTTGACAATTGTGCATAGCCTCGCAGCCTAAATTACTTATCCATGTTACATGGATATGTTTATTGTTTAGTACAGAGTAACTTAAGGTCTAACAGAACTATCAAAAAAAAAAAAAAAACCTTATGTTCTAACATATTTTTTTTAACTTCGAGTGACGTTGTACTGAATATCTTTGTGCTTGTACTAATGTTTTCAATTTCTATTGTGATGTTTATTGTTTAATATAAGCCTTAACAAATACTATTTATATTATTATGGCATCGAGTTATATCATGAACTACATATATTAAAATGCTTTAAATCAAGGTTCTAAAATCTAACAGATAATTGTGAGAGATCTCAAGTACAGGTCACATTATATTCTCTATATTCACTAATGTATACAACAATTTGCATATCAAAAGTTTATCCGTGCATTTTGATTATACTATGTTTTCATCAATCCAATCAAAGTAATGAATTTGTGATAAATTCTAGAACCATAGCTGTTTTGGATTCCAAATTTCTTTGTTTTTTTCCTTTTTATCCAGGAAAAAAAAAAAAAAAAAAAGTATTACCCCTTTCCAAATGCAAAAACAAGACAAGACTTGTACCATTCCATGAAATTCACCCCATAAATTCAGTCTTCCGTCACTTATCAAACAAACAAAAAATATTCAGTCTTCTGTCTTCCAAAGTAATCAATCTCAACAATGTTTAAAGGTTGTTTAATATGAAGTAGTTACGTGGAGTATTAAGAGCATATATTACCCCTTCATCTTCGCAATCTTCAGCACTTTGCAAGAGCATCGTCACGTATGCATCAACTCTTTTTGAAACTTCTTCTTCCATTGCACGCATGTTTGCTCCAATAAAAGAGTCAGCGATTGCATGCATTTGGTAACCCACTGTGCCAAAAGGGGAAAAAAAATTAGAAAGAGAAAAAGGTCAACGTTACCCAAAAAAATGAGAGAAACTAGTGGTTGAGCTCCCTTTAAGAGTATGCACCAATTGGTAGTAGGACATCGTTTTAAAAAAATTCCAAACTGTATGTAATTATTTATACACGAAGAAAATTTCACATAAAAACAGCTTTATGCTTCATAGTCCTTTTATGATGTGTCACAGTTTAGTAGATGGTTCTTAATTTAGTCAGAATTTGGAAAATCTACATATAATTTGCAATGAAATACTTTGACTAAGTATGAATATAAGGGCACTGCAGATGCTTATTATAGCCAGATATGGACAGCTGTAGACTTAATAAACATATCAGTGACCAAGTCATCTGGTTTTGATGTTGTCCTCAAAGAAGAATGTTGACTCTATTTCGTTAGGCCTCTGACATTTCCAGAGAAGTGATGCATGAGTGAAAAACATTATAAGTAGACTGCAGGCACATATAAATTCTGAAGATAGAGCAATCAACTGAGTATTTTGTTACTAATTAAAGCATAACTTACTGGTACTCAGAATTTACCATTTATAAGTTCGCAACTTGTAACTTGCAATTGCTATTTCAGGATAAAAAGGAAAAGTTGGGTACTCAACTAATAAAACAAGCACCATGATTCAAACAAATTCTGGTAAATGACTTGTTGTAAAAACAAAGAAGTTTACAATTTAGTAAGCAAATGCAACATCTAGATATGGTTCATTGTCACTTAAATCAATTTCATTCCTACACAATTAAACAGTGGATTCAGAATGGTATTTGTGTTCCCGAACTTCAGCAAATTGAGATTATTGAGGTCAAGGTTCAAACCCAAAAGACATCATCCTTGAACTATGAAAGCAATCGAAGCTTCCATCCTCATAAACACAAGGTAAATTACCCTTCATTTGTTAATAGTTTTTTAATGAAAACATACTTGAATGTAACAAAACCATAACACCCCCATCTCTCTCTCTCTCTCTCTCTCTCTCTCTCTCTCTCTCTCTCTCTATATATATATATATATATATATATATAAAAGCAGCGTAGTGGCAATTCTTGTTTGTCGAAGCTTCTGTTCTATATATGTATATATAACTTCCTTTATTGGTGGTTGTCAGAGAAGCGATTAACCATCAGGAGCACATGATGGTGGCATTTTGAGATGGATGAATGTCAACTCAAGAGAAGATTGAATTAGATGTATATGCATTCAGGAGAAGCTAAAGGCAGCAACAATTAAGGACAAGATGAAGCTGATTCCAGATAAACTTGAGGCAAATATGAGATGAAAAAGATTAGGACCTCAAGCACATAATAGGTATGATGATGCTAAACCAGAGTGTTAAGTGTCCTTGTGCTTAAAAAAGATTGCAAGAGATTTGTGGGACAGGTTCCAAATGGACTGCAGTAAATAGCAAGTTCTTTGACAATGTAATGGAGCCATTGATTGCAGAACTATATACAGGTAATGACTTGATATTATAATGCTAAAGTTGACAAAACCACATATTCTTCTGATTCTTAGGTACCCACTTGTTAAACAAGGTAATGCAGCGTCTAATATGTGAGGCATGGTGGAAGCACAGATTCACTTAAAAGCAAATTCTCTTTTGGCACAGTGATTTCCTAATGCAAAATGCATAGGTTGTCTGACTTTAGATGCATGCCCATCTTTTCTAACATGAGGTATACTTGGTGTTGCAAAAGCAAGTCACTGGCGCCAGGACTTGAGATGAACACAGGGAATAAGTCATGAAGGCATCCAAATAGGATTAGCTCAGCCACAGTGTGGCAAGTATAAAGAAGCAAGGGAACATTCATCAAATAGTCAACCCCTTCCCCCTCCTTTCCTGTTCACGCAATATTTATGTCATTCCACTCACACTATGTTTGGTAGCATGGAATTGGTGCCTTGGAATTGGAAGAAAAAATAGTTTTTTTCTCCAATTCCAATGCACCAATTGCATGCTACCGGACATAGCATCGGATGAAAGAAATTTTTTTTTTTGGTAAGTAGAGGAAATGGAATTCATTTTCAATCAAACACAAGACAATATTCAAAACTACTACTGTACTACATTTATGTAGATACTCAGTAACAGATAGCTCAGTAGAAAAGAAACAATAGAAGATAGTACAAGTTTTAACAGGCAATTCGTCGAACACTTACAGGGGTGTGGAATTTTCTGCAAAACTCCAAGCACGGTGAGGGTATCACCTGGGTGAAGAATGTCACCTCGCACTCGGGCATTTTCAACAGTGAGCTTAAGCTCTTGCTCGTTGCGATCCCTGGTTGCATCATAGGCGATAACAACATGGCCCGGGTTATAAGGACTATTTTCCGTCGACATTTCTTGAGAATCCACAACCGGGTCGCCTTGAATTCAATGATGGGTCTTGAGTTCTATGAGTTTGGGGTGTGAGAGAGTTTGAGAAAATAAATGGGGCGCACAAGAACACATGGTACGAAGTTGAGAGCGAGTGTTGATCCAATGATTTTTTGATTAATAGTTCTTAACACTCTCTCTCTAGGACTCTTTCTGTGGCTAAAACTCGATGATGAGAGAGAAAGAGGAGATTCGTAGGATATCTTGGGATTATACTCTCAGGATATTCTAATGAGGAATGGCGGGAACTGTAGTTGCCGTCCTGAAACAGAGACAAGAAGATGATTGCCAATAGCTTGAAGACAGAAAAAGGTTTCTCTTTGGGGGCATTTCTTGTAGCTTCCTCCCGTAACCATCTTTAACAATAAGGTGATAAAAATAATTTTCAACCAAAACAATAAATAATTGGGTTGGTAGAAGGCTAATTCAGTTGCTCATGTACTTTCTTTTTCTTATTTTTTTCTGTTTTTTTTCTCAGCAGCTCATGTACTGAGTCGAGTTTGAAAGAGAAGTGATAAATTGTTTGACATTGCTATGGCTAGAGTGAAAAGAGAAGTGACAAATTTGTTTGACATTGCTATGACTAGAGTGAAGAAGCAGCCATTATGTAATGTGCCTTCCTCGGTAGAAGGCTAATTCAGTTGCTCATGTACTTTCTTTTTCTTATTTTTTTCTGGTTTTTTTTCTCAGTAGCTCATGTACGGAGTCGAGTTTGAAAGAGAAGTGATAAATTGTTTGACGTTGCTATGACTAGAGTGAAAAGAGAAGTGACAAATTTGTTTGACATTGCTATGACTAGAGTGAAGAAGCAGCCATTAAATATATTTGTTTATTTGTTTTGGGTTTTTAAATTTTTTTTTTTTTCAAAGGCAAGAAAGATTTCATTGATGCAGAGGAAAGCACATTACACAATGGCTGCTTCTTCACTCTAGTCATAGCAATGTCAAACAATTTATATATATATATTACTGTTTTTTTTTTTACAGCGACCTCGTGTAGATTGTCATGTTCCAACTTAAGTCACATAATTTTTCTTAATAAGTATCGCTCTCACACTCTAAGTGCGGTGCTCTCGCTCAAATTCTCACTGTTTTTAACTTAATTATATCACTCTCACGCTCCCGCTGACTTAGGTTTCAACTGCATCTACTAATCTAATTCCTAATGCTTCTTGTCTTCAAATATATATATATATATATATATATATATATATATATATATATATATATTCTCTTTCCAAGAAACATATTCACACAAAATACTTTCCTTATTGGGACTTGAATCATCTATTTCATATTTGTGGAATAGTAGAAAGTAGCAACAAGGGTGAGCATGGAAAAAATCCTCTAGTTATTGTTATTGTCAAATCAGTGCCAAGCCAGCAAGTTAAGAAATTTACTCATTATATTTTATTTTACCATATATGCAAATACCACTGTTAAATTCAGGAATTGTGAATTCAAAGACTTTTTTGTCATTTCCTTTAAAAGAAAACGAGAAATGTGTGCAATTGAAGAAAAGCAGAGTGCGAATATCCTCTCCCGGAGGTGATATCTGCACTCTACTTTTGAACATGTGCACTACAATCTTAAATAAAATGAAAATTCTAACATTATCTTTACGAGTAACTAATTATAATTTTTTAAATGACACAATTGCCCTTTCATATTTTCTCTCCTTATCTCTAATCTTTAATATTTTAAGTATTTTTCGACAACACAAATAAAATAAAATAAAAATTGAATAATTTTTTTTAAGGGACCAAAAAAATAAAATTTTATTATGTTGAATAAATTGCCTCATTTGGGCAAATAAAAAAATAAAAAGTTACCATTTAAAAAATTATCTCTTTTGACATGAAGGAAAAAAAAAAAACCCCATAAAAATATATTTATTGAATAAATTATCTCAATTGTCAAGATCCCAAAAAAATAATAATAATAAAAAGTACAAAAGGAAGATGATTAAAAAAAAAAAAATTATCTCTATTGAATAAATTATATTTTAAAAAAAAAAAGTTATTTTTATCTAATAAATTATTTCTTTTGACATGACCCATAAAAAATTACCAAAAAATAAAGTTAACTCTTTTGACAAAACTGAAAAAAAAAAAAAAAAAAAAATAGTTTTTTTGAATAAATATTTCTTTCGATTGTACAAATTATCCCTTTTGACTAGGGGTGGCAATTTGTGTTCGCGGGTCGTAATCGTGTCGTGTCGATTTAAGGGCATTATACTAAATAGCTCAACCCAAATACGGCCCGTTTAATAATCGTGTCAAGAACTCTCAACACTAACCCGACCTATTTATTAAATGGGTTACACGTATAACCCGTTTAATGACCTGTTTAATAAAATTAAATATTTTACAATTTAAATTATTAATAATACTCAATCAAACATTAAATACTAAAAAAATATAAGTTTCAATTCAACAAAATTACTAACTAATCTCTAATCTACAAAAGAATAAATTATACTATACAAGTTTAGATAGCTATTTTGGAACTTAAATAAAAATTTGTTTTTGATATGTATAGTTATACGGGTTGAACCCCTCAATCCAAACACGACACGATTAACTAAACGGGTTAATCGAGTCAACCTATTTATGACCCAAACCCCGTTTAAAGTTAACCCAAACCCGTTTAACTCATGTCGCGTTCGAGTCGTTTTGGCGGATAGTATCAAACTTTGCCACCTCTACTTTTGACTGCCAAAAATAAAATTATTAGTATAGAATAAATTATTTTCTTTTAGAGGACTTCCGGAAAAAACAAAAAGAAAGAAAAAAAATATATAGTAAAGAAAGTAAAGAAGGTAAAAATAAATAAATAAATAAAGTTGTATAAAGAGTAGTTATGACATTATAAATTAAAGAATTATGCATTAATGAATACAAGGACTTTTTTGTCGTTTCTTTTAAATAGAAAATGATAAATGTAGTGCAATTCGAGAAAAGTGAAGTCCGAATATCCTCTCCCAAATTAAATTTCAATAACCAATTATTAGTGTAATTGAAAAAATAGTTGAAGATAGTAGTAATTAACAAATCTGTTGACCTTAAGGATTTCATCCAAGGATAATCTAGTTGTTTTGATGATAACAAACTATTAATGGTATTTAAGGACTAATGTTTACATTGAGTATTATATAGATTATTTACATTCAAAGAATAACCTCAATGAAGTTATAAAGATCATTCCAAGTATTCTATTATTCAAGATCACATCAATAAAAGAAATGGATACAAAGAAGACTTGAAGTTGCAAGTAACCAAATGTAAAGTCCATCCAAAGATAACTTGGACTACAACGAGTAAGAAAGCAACTCAAAGAAAGGAAGAAAGCGAGTCTACCTGAAAGCCTACACGATTATGGACAAAGCGTGAAGAAAGGGGTAGATAGGATGCTGAGTATTTAGGATTCAGTGTCAAAGTATTTATGAATCCATTTGAAACTCATCTCTATAGGACCATGCATATCATATCATCATTCGTATGCTCCTATATCCATTAGCAATTGACTATGCACTTCATTCATATACAATTGACATATGGAGTCTATGTTAAAGAGTGAGTTAGTTCAAGCTTGTATAAGCTTTGAAAGAACTCATCACTTGTGCTAGAAATGCTAAGACCATGTACATCAATCATAAAATTCATATTGGCCAACAATTAAGGCATGAGAAGCCTTTATTACCATGAGTTGGTAACGGACATTAGGACCCCAGAATGAACGTTATGAAAAACTATGTTTTTGGCTAAGTGTGAAAAATGGATTTTTGAAAAAAGATTCTTTCAAAATAATTTTTCCCAATAATAACTCTTTATACTTCAACTAGCCTAAACTGATTTTATCAGAATTTTTGACCAAATCTACATTGGTCTACATAAGGATTCATTTTTAGCAAAACTGTCGGAAATCCAAATTTGTACTAAAACTAAATTTCTACATTTTGATTTAGTTGGATTTCAATTTTTTAGTATTTTTTATTGAATCCAAATGGGGGGTACTTCCTTATTTACATTGTAAACTTAAAGTAAATGGACATATAAATACTGTAAATAAGCTGTGTGCAGATGTCTTGTACTGAAAGTCTTATACATAAGCTGTCACTGTCAAAACTGTCAATGCACCAGGTTTTACGTCGACCGGTTCTAGCTTCATGTCGACCGGTATCTAGGCAGTACTGAAATCTCAAGAACGCATCATTTACGTCAACTGGTTTGATACATACGTCGAATGGTTTGATACATACATCGACCGGTATCTAGGCAGTAGCAAATATCAAAATGGAGCTCATTTTGCATCAACTGGTTCAAAGCATACATCAACCGATTCATGAAGAAAACGTCAACCGGTTTGCATCATACATCAACCGGTTTGTAGAATACATCAACCGGTTTGCATCATACATTAACCGGTTTGTGGCATACGTCAACCGTTTTATACCACATGTCGACCAGTTTGGTCGCAGCTCTGCAGATTTCAAACTGCAACGGCTCTTTTCTCCTCAACCCTTGTGCATTCAATTCCTAACAGCTATATTGAGCTTGCAAACTCTATAAATAGAGTGGGGAATGTCTTAATAATCAAGAGACATCATTTGAAAGTCTTCACATTACATTAAAGAGAGCTTTTGTTCTCAAATCTTCTCTTCATCTCTCTCATTCACTCATATACAAATCTTGAGAGATTTAACTAAGGATTCAAAGGGCTTTTGCTCTAATTCAAATCTTCATAGAGCTTTTGTTCTATTCTACACTTGAGAGATCTTATTGAGTTCATTAGAACTTTTGTTCTTCACTTATATCATCTTCTCTCATTCATATCATTTATAAAGTTTGAGCTTCACTTATATTCATAAATACTCTAGTTGAGAGCTAAAGTTTGTACATCAATCTTTGAGAGATATTTCTTGTGAACTTACACTTATATATCTATCTTGAGAGAGATTCAATCTTGTATTTCAATTACAAACTTTTCTACAAACTTGTAAGGGTTGTTGTGACCCAAAAGAAGCCTAGGAGAAAGGTGTTCTCCTAGCAAGGAAAAGAAGCAAGGTCTTGCTTCACATAATGGTTTGTTCTCCACCCGTAAGGAGAAGCCATAGTGGATTGGGAAGTCTCAAGAAGAGTCTTAAGCCGAGGAGTAGGAGTTTCCAAACCTCGCTAAAATTGTCGAGTCAATGTTTGCAATTTCTCTTCCCTTATCTATCTTATAATTGTGCTATTTAATTGTTTATTTCATATCTTTATAGTTACACAATTGTGTTAAGTACTTTGCTTGAAATTGCTTTTCTATATTGCAAAAATTATCCATTATTTGTCATTGACTCTATTCACCCCCCCTCTAGAGTCAATTCTTGGGCAACAATTGGTATCAGAGCCTAACTCTAATTAAAGGACTTAATCGTCTTAGAGTACGATCATGGTCAACAATGGTAGTATCACATACTTAGAAGGACAATCAATGATCAACCTCCTTGTTTTGATGAAAATGATTATATCTATTGGAAAATTAGAATGAAGGCCTTTTTAAAAAGTATTAATATTGATTTATGGAAAGTTGTAGAAAATGGTGGTCATCTCCCAACCAAAGTTTTTGAAGGAAATAAAATTCCTAAATCAAAAGAGGAATGGGATAAAAATGATCATAGATTAATTCAATGTAATGCTTTAACCATATGTTATCTTTATTGTGCATTAAGCAAAAATGAGTTCAATAAAATCATCTTTTGTAAAACGGCTAAAGAAATTTGGGACTTGCTTGAATTAGCCTATGTTGGATTGATAAGGATTCAAATATAAATGAACCCTCTAGCATAAATGAGATGCATTTTAGTTTTACTAACATTACTAATCATTTGAATGTTATTGGTAGAATTAACTCATCCACCT